AGTCCCGCCTTAGGCACGAAAGCCGATTGGGTGACTTTGGGCCAATCCCCAGGAGACGGTGAGTTCTAATCCTGCCTTAGGCATGAAAGCCGGTTGGGTGACTCTGACCAGTCACTCTCTCTCAGCCCAGCCCACCTCACACGGTTGTTGTTCTGGGGAAAATCGGAGGAGGAAAGAGTATTAGATATGTTTTCTACCTTGAGTTACTTATGAAAGTAATAAAATCAAATAAATAAACAATACTATGCAGCTACCTTACAGCACCCCAGGTTTTAAGGAAGACCTTGATGTAAAGGGAGGCCAGGACCAGCTGAGACACGGGCAGCCGTGGCGCGACATGGTTGTGAAGAGAGAACTATAATAACATTAATACGTATAATAATGGTTTATACCCTATATGCGGCTGGCCATTCAAGAGCAGTCTCATGAATTAGGGCAGGGGGTCGCCAACCTTTTGGACCTCAGGGACCGCCAAACTCATAATTTTAAATCCCACGGACCAGTAATATGAATTTTGACCAACGGTGGCTTGCTGATGTTTTCCCAGGGTCTCTGCAAAAAGCAGCAGAGAGACCCCTGGGGAAAATCCCAGAAAAAGTCTGCAGGAAAAATTCCCCACCCCTTTTTCCTACCGATTGATCGCTCTTTATTTGGGATTGCGGGATACCGTCTCCAGCTCCATTCTCAGGTGGAGAAAGAGAGACTTTTGGCTTCATTCAAGGAAAGCAGCAGAAGCCGCAGAAGTCTTTCTTTCTCTCCCCCAAACTCTGCCAGAAATGAGTCTTTGTGAGACTTGTTGCACTGGCACAACCTCTTAGGGCAGGAGGCCTTGCAGGGTCCCAAAGACTAATTTCTGGCGGAGTTTGGGGGAGAGAAAGAAAGACTTTGGCTGCATTCCTTGCGTGCAGCCAAAAGCAGAAGAAGAAAGAAGCGGAAAGAAGCAGCCCGGTGGCCAGGCCAGGCACGTGGGCTGCGTGGGGCGAGTTCCCCCCCTCTGCCCTTTCCCCCCTCCCCTCACTACCTCATGTTGTTCACCATGCAAGCAACGCAGCCTTGTGTTCCCGCAGGCCATGTGGGCAGCGCAATCTTGTGTTCCTGCGCAGCCTGGATTAATTACTTTGGGGGGGGGGTGACATTTCTCGTAGACCACTGGTTGGCCACCACTGAATTAGGGCATCCATCGGAACCCCTACAGCGACAGCCTGGGGATACCTGCTGTAACTCTCTTCACTGTCGCAGCTTGGGTCGAGGTGTCTCCTTTCTTTCTTATAATTATTTGACAGTCAAAAGATTTTTTTTACTGAATTATAAAGTATTGTAAAATACGATCTTATCGTTGTTACGGACCTCGACAGATGCAGTGGCAAAACGTGGAGCACGTCGGGGATCAGAGTCCTTACGTGACGTCGGTCATCTTGCACATTAAGCAGAACGTCCCCATCATCCGGGACAACCTGGCCTCCACCCGGAAATATTTCACCCAGTTCTGCATCAAATTTGCCAAGTGAGTCCCTCGCTCGCGTTCTGGGCTTCCCCAACAACACAAAGCCAACTCCTCGTCCCAATAAAACCCCTTTTATTTATTTTAAAATTTAATTCCTCTCCAGCAAAGTCCCGGCCAGCAGCCTTTCAAGAGATTTTCCCAGTTACAGACCTTTGGAGAGTTGCCAGGCCATTTATCTTTTAGACGCCACGCTGTAGCAGGCAAGAATGCAGGAACAGATCTTCGCCCCAATGAACTAATTGTCTCCTGCAAAACACCTTTCGCTTCTCTTTTTATTCCCTATGGGAGGGGCCCTTTACCGTCCACCTTTAGTGGCTTTACTCCCGAGTCAACCCTTGTTCCTTAGCTGTTCCCTTCTCCTGGCAGCTCTGCACATGCGCACACTGGGAACAGGCTCCAGCTGTTCTTCTGCCTCACTGATCTCCGACTCCGAAGGCAGCTGATAACTGTCAGATGCCCCCGGCCCTGGGGAATTCTAGGAGTTGAAGTCCACTCACTTTACAGTGGACAAGACTGAAAAATACTGGATGAGAGAAATCTCTTTTTCCTTTAAGCTTCATGGAAAAGCTTAAATTTGTTCCCTCCTTTCTTGCAGCTGTTTCATCCCCAAGTTTATTAACCACCTTTTCAAGTGCAAGCCGATCAGCATGGTGGGGGCCGAACAGGTGAGTATCCTAAGTTTAAATCTGGGGAAGGGGTTGTTGGGAAACAGTCGGTGAGAGGTGGGTTCAGGAGACTGGCTTGATCCTTCTCAGAATGTTTTTAGACTGTCTGAACCATTTGTTGAATACATGACAAACCACAACGAGGTTGTGTTTGTATCTGAAGGGTCTTGGTAGTGCTCTCTGAGCTTGTTTTTTTTTTTCTTGCAGACATTTCATGACCCAACTAGGTAACGTCATCGGAGCTAGAAGGGAGTAGGGTTTGCTCCCTGTGGATATTCTTGCTCTGTCAACGTTGGTGGGAGTGTATTTGGTGATTGGGGTTTTGTTTGCTGTTGGATTGTTGGATAAATACCCAGATAAGCAGAGATTAA